AGAGTCCAAAGGGTTGGAAGAACTTTGTAAGGGAGAAAGGAAGCTACAGATAAGTAATTCTTTTCTTCAAGTGCTTGTCTCTACATGCATTCATACTACACACAATTCCAAGGAGTATCCACTCATAATTATTTTTCTTCAATGTTCCTAATTAAGCAAAAATTGAAGAACAATTATCACAAATATAACATCATTCCTTGACAATTCTCAAAGTACATAACATGAAAGTAAAATGTCTGTGACGGTCCAGTTGACAGCTGTATAAGTGTCAGCTCTTGAGACACAGAACAATCAGTCACCTCTTGCACTCCAGATGAGCGGGCCCTAACTGCATTCTTTTATACTTAATTACCTTGGATAAGATTCTGTAAACAGACTGACAGCCTTTTGAATTTTCAGCCATGGACACAAGGTGGGAAAGCTGTGTCCATATCAAAAAAGATGTCTCATTTTCAATAAATAAAGAGGTACTTCTGCTGAGGTAGTATGAGGTTTAGTGAAGAAAGGTAAATTAGCTTCCTAGGAAGGCAGAAGTCATTGTGAGCAAAACATTCTGGGCAAATGGTCTATATCTAAAACCAATTCATGAAGAGTTGTAGATTCTGTAGGTGGAGGTCAGTCTGCCCTTGAAAAGATGCCTGAAGAAGTGAAATTATTTTAGGCTCTAACAGCAAAAGGCATAGGGTAATACACAGCTCTCTGGTGTACCTTCTAAAATTTTGTTGTGGTGCTGAGGACAGCAATTTCTAAGTACTCCTTCCTGAAGGGCACCTCTAACCCAAACAGTAATTACATCTTGAGAGTATCCTGCTGTTTACAACAGGCATGCAGTGAAGGCATGTAGAGGCACTTTCCTTTCTTCAGGGAAAAGCCAAGAGCAAATCTTTCACTTCACCTGGCAGTCTGGTTAGATGTTTCGTTCCCTTCTTCATCTCTAAAGAACTGCAGCTAAGTATAGTCCATGTTAGGAAAACTAACCATGTTAGTTTTCAGAGGGCTTTCAGGTCCATGAGTATATTTCACCTGGAATGCTTTTAACACCCTGCTGCCACATGGTAGGGAAATCTACAATACTTGACTTTGCATGTTTATCTAAGAGATGGGCATATACTGATGGATGCACACACATTATTTTTGGTAGGGAAGAACTTTGCATGGACAATGATACAGTTCACCTGGAATATCAAAATTTTGACTGCGTTCCTCCATGAGAAACTAGACCAACGAGATCAGATATATTCTACGTGAGAAGTTACAGCTTGAAATTCTAATCCTCTGCGATTCTAATCGGTGATGTCTATCAAATTACAGGATGCATTTTCTGAGAATTCCACAGTCTGTACGTTAAACTTGCATTTTCCCCAGTTGAAGGCCAGAGAGCATATACCTGGTCCTCTTCTGGTGGAAAATGTCAGGTACATCTCAGTAGTTCAGAGCAGCTTGTTCCTTGCGTAGACAAGACAATCAATACTAACTATGTGGTAAGTATTGTCTTATGTCATATCTTGCCCATTTGAATAAGAGGAACTGCAATAAGATTTTCTACTTCACTTTTCTCACTCTTACTGCAAGTATGCATTTGTAGAAAAGTCTGTAAAGATGATGCATATTTAGTTAAATTCTGCTTGTCAGTATTAAACTGGCTGTAGATTTGGCTTTGGTACAGACACTATATTGATGTTCATCAATTATTTACCCTTGCTAAAGACAAAAAATTGTTAGTAATGACTTTGAGATGTACCATCCACATGCATGTACATTTACATGGATCTTAAATAAATATTCTCAGTCTTTACATTTAGATGAGGTGAATTTTGCTCTGATTCATCCTATTACATACGTAGTTATGGAGAGGATCTCATTGGCACAGAACAACCAAGAATCACCAAGTGATTCTGCTAACCAAAATATCACAGACCGTACCATCTCACATTCTCATATGATTAGATGAAAAAGAAAGATGAAATGGTATTCCCTGACAACTAAAAATACTGAGAGGGTAATGCTACTTTTTCACAAAAATGCCTCTCCTAGGACAGGCATGAAACACCTGCAGGTTTCCACAGGGATGATCAGTGCTTATTTTTCAGGAACTTAATTGGAAAAGGAAGAATTGCAACTTAATTGGAAAAGGAAGAATTGCACCTTTGCTTCAACATTGTACCTCTTCTCAGTTCTAACTGGAAAATCAGAAGGAGCTGGCATCTGCAACTAGAAATGTACAGAAAACAGCAGCACTCTTCCGTTAATTAAACTGCCTGCTTGAGGAACAGTGATGAAATATGATGATTAGAGAGTAGAAGCATTGATTTGATTCTACAAGAAGAATGAGAAGAACTGGACAACACACAATTTGTTGTTGTTGTTGTCATCATTGTCTTAAACACATAAAAATGGGTTGTGTCACAAGAGCTGTATTTTCTGCCTTCGTGAATTCAACAGCCAAACTATTAGACTTTTTCAGTTGTCATCATAAGTATACAAGGTACCAGACTGCCTTGTGCGCTTTTGCTTGAGCATAGGCTTAAGATGTTAAACTACATTTACTTTAACAAAACCAGAAACTCAGTATTACTCCTGGCTGTACTTATATTCTCAAGCTATGATCACCAATCTTGTCTTGAACCAAAAACATTTAAGTATACTGTCCATAATTTTTGATTTTATGAAAGATAAAAGGGAGAATATCCTTTGGTTTCAACAAACGCAAAATGTAGGTACATAGAGCTTTCACTAAAAATACAAAAATCATCATACTGAGGCTTTTTATACATTCAGCCTTCAAGTAACAGAAACGTTAGTCAATTCAAAATTGAAAAGGTCAGTTGTTAGTGTCAAATTGAACTGCCACAAAGCAAGCCTACATATATCAAGCAGATAATCAAGGCAAGTATGCCAAGTAACTGACAACTGTAAACTTTTGTCTCATTAAAACACTGTCAAATTAATCACCAGGTCAATGTCATTGTTATAAAAGTTTACAACTGATTCACACAGGAACCTTGATTTTTCTGGTCTTAAAAAAAAAGAAATCTAGCAACCATTTGTGGAGTCTGCTAAAAGCCTTTTAGCAGAAAGAACGTGTTCAAATGGAAGTTTCACTCAAAAAAGAGAGAAGAGAACTTTCATTAAAACTTTCCATGTCTATATAAGATACAGCAAATGAAACAGCAAAATGTTACCTATTTTCAGGAACTTCAGGGTAACGCTCTCAGTAAAGTCAAATTAATATATTTAGCTTAAGTATTGCAATTGCAACATCTAGAGTAAATTCTCAGTTTTAAAAATGCTCCTATCTTCTATATCAGAGGATAACAAAACAGCAAATGGAGGTATAGCACAATCATGAGAAGGCATAACTAGTAGAAAAGTACTTGTTTAATATCCGAAGAACAGTCCTAGAAAAATAAAAGTTGTAACTGCACAGTTAACACCTCAGTTGAAGTTTTCTGCACTGATTCGGTTATCTCATCAGTGGTATCTCACTAATGGAGTTGAGCATCACTGTAAACAGTAAGTATGAAAGTGCTCATGTTTATAAGAAAGATCTAACTGGTTAGAGATAATCAGCTATGACCTTTTTTCCTTGCATATCAACTGTGTCAATTGCCATTAATATTGGTACCTACTTATTTCTTAAAGGGGCTGCTTACCACCAATTGTTCACAAGGGATTATAATTTCTGAAGCCTAGTCCCAAATGTTGATCCAAAAGAGCTACTATCTGTTCACCTTCAGTTTAAGGTGTCTTCTGCAAGACATACTTACAGATGTAGAGAGGCCCTTATAAATTTATTTTCTTTTTAAAATGGGGTAATGGGCAAAATGCCCATTTGGGTACCCATCATGGGTAAAGGGATAAGTACATAGGATTAATTTAATTTACCTGCTGCTTCAAATAAAGTAAGGGGCTGCTTTTAAGACAGTTTTCATGTGCTTTTTGAACTGTATAGAAAAAGGGAATTATAGTTAGCTTTTTCCTCTTATTAAATGTACACACATGCAAATATATGCAACTCCTGAAAATTCAGGATCACATTTGGAAGCCTAACACTCAAAAAATGTTGTTAATTTCAGGACTCTGAATACCTATAAGCTAGTAAAGAATAGTCAGAGAAGTACTGGTCTTCATACTATTAAAATTTAGGCATCTCATATAAGTGCTGTGATGGACCTGGAAGTTCTCAAACCCTTATATATACTCTATAGAGAATATAGGGTCTTAAATTCTCTTAAGTTAGATACAATATCCTGAAACTGGAAAATACAATTTTCATTATCAAAAGCATTTCTCCTTACTGAATCAAACCTGAGATTCATCTTTTACTATTTTTGTAATATTCACAAAGAATGACAATTATGAACAGCGTTCAGTTCAATTGAATTACATGAAAATCAATATGAGTTAATATTTACACTCTTCGACCAATGATTTATAATGATCATTCAAATGCACTGTAATACTTTGTGTCTTTCTGTGGTAAAGTCTATACCCAAGTGAAGCAAATTGAAAACAAGGTGAAATATTTCTTTCCTCAGACTCTCTGGGTGCAATTTTATGAAATCATAAACTGGGCATGAGGGACAGATTTCCTGGTGATTTAAACACTAATTATAAAAAGCAGTTGCCTAAAAACTTGCTTTTTTATTATTATTAATCTTTTAAGTTTCAGCAAATATCGCCAGAAGTAAGATAATATTTTTGCATCTGAATATGACTCATGCTTTATTTTAAAAGGCAGTATAAATTTAACTCCCAAAGTCTGTAAGATTTCAGTGAATAGAAACCAACAAATTAACCTGCAACACCCCTGTGTTTCTCAACACGGAATCTTCCCACGACACATTTTAAAAAATAACATTATAAACAACATTCCAAAATTTGACCCCTACTTGAAACAGTATCCCTCCTCCTTTTTATTGTAATGACTTGTTCAATACAGAAAAATAATTAATTTTATTTTTACTTGTAGCAGAGGTTTGTGAAAAAAATTTGCTTACTTGCAGTTGAACTGAGTTATCCTGAAGACCTTCTACAATAGGAGAGAATCTATCAACATTCCTTTCCTCTGCTGCTACTGTTACAGCTTCCAAAATTTTTTCAAGGCTGTAAGAAAAGAAAAGCGTTTCACTCAGGAGAGATATTTAACATTGCTGTTCATTTGTTGTCTGAAGAGCCATGTTGTCAAAGTATTCACCTGCCTCAAATTCTTGCGTACAAAGTTAGGAGGTTTAAGCATTACTTGTTTCCTTTGGAGACTTTTGTAGCCAAAGAATGACTTACTGGATTGCAATGGTTAAGATACCTCAAAAGTAATGCTGCAAAATCTTAAGCAAAAGAACGGCTGCATAACTACTTCCATGTAACCAGTACATCCACATACCAAAAAGAAAACTCTTATTGATATGACCATAATAAAAATCACAGACAAAGGTATTCTGAAAACTGACAATATAGTACAGATATTACTTTCAAACCTAAGTTGAAAATTTTAGCATTTCATTCAGGTATAACTATAATTTTGGATATCATAAAATTACCTTACTATTTCTGGCTAAATACAGTACTTACATGTTTTCCTCTCCAACAATGCACATTGCAGAAAGGAGTTTAACTATATCCGTCATCATGTTAGTTTGCTTGGGATCAATTGCTTTGATCAGCAACAGAAGGCTTCTCTCTTCTCCCAAAATTCTTTCCAATCCATACTACACAACAGAAGAACAGTTGTGAGGAGGGTTGGAGGGAATCCAAATGACTGTATCGAATATCTAGTTAAAGACAGTGACAGTTCCCTCAAGTACATATTTCAAATGATATTTAAGTCCGTCAAATACTTAATTAAAAAAATTAAGTGAGAGAAAAGTCCACTTATTCTGTTACAAGGGTATATATCAGCATCAAAAGTTCACACTACCCTCCGAGTATACTTCTGCAGAGAGGAAGTGGCAGCAGAAGGAACTTCAAACCACACCTGACCAACACACCACATCTCCAAATCGCACAGGTTTATACCCACTGATCGTGTACATTATCTGATTGAACTGTAGTAATTTAGATTTCCAGATTAAAAAAAATCCCATACCTTGTTATTCATGAAGGCTCTCAAACACTGTATAACCTTATGCTGACTCTTCTTCACAACTTTGTCCTGGCTGAATAAATAAAAAATTTAGTGTAATTAAATGCTGGTTACGTATTGAGAAAAGCTGGCAATTTTACATTAAATCATCCTTACTTTTTTGTCTCAACCAATCTTTCCAAAACATCCAACAGCAGCCCCAGACCTTCTCGGCCAAAGTTTTCAACCCAGCTAGGGAGAAAGAAAACAGACATTAAAAAAATTGACATTTCAAAGAGTAATTACAATGAATGAATATTGTCAGCATAAATAAAAGCAGTATAACTGGATCATTTTAAACCCCAAAATCGACTCTTCACTGAATAGAAGATCAAGAGACATTCCATTGACTCCTTGATGAAATTAGATAACCTTAAATTAAGAAAGATTAAAAAATTACAGTAGCCATTGAATTTAGTAATTTTAATTTTTAAATTAGCAATTATACGTTCTTTGGCACAGAACTATAATTAAAAAACCCTTGCAAAGGAAGGGAAGAAAAACAACAATTTCTACTACACACTGTTCCAGGGTCTCCTGGAAAGGTCAGAATCTAACTGTAAATGGCAAAGAAGGAAGGAAAAGCCTAAAACAATTGCAGAAGTGGCTCCCTGAGATATTAATCCATACGAATATCTCCAAGTGAACACAACAAAAATTTAAAATTTCAGCTATTGCCAAAGCTATCTTTTGGTGAGTTTAAACCTGGGCATGTTGTTTCTACATGAGACAGCTGTTTCACAGTCCTGTTTACTATTGCTCAAAACCCCTTGATATCAAATACAAGTAACTGCATGACTGACAGCAGTACTGCAGCCATCCCTTTGATAGTAGCTGTTGGTCTTGCTGAAACTATGATGTTTAATCAATTACCTAACCCTGAAGTTCATGGACAACACTGTCATTCATAGTCACAACAGAAGGAATATTTTGCTCTTTAGACTTCATTGTCTGTGTAAGGCACAGATATTTTAAAGTTCAAATTTCTATCAAAATCCCACTGGAGGAAGGAGAAGCTGGCTGCAGAGGCAACAAAAATACATATACAAGCAGAGAAACTGTAGAGATTATGTGCTCAGGAAACTCCTTTTATAAAGAGTGAAGTTAGAATATTCAATTATGGAATGAATTCACAAGTACTCAAATACTCTTCTCTTTCCATAAGAGGCAGGAATATTTCCTGACACTTTTAGTCAACTTTCCATACTACTGCCATAAGACAAATCCTTGGATCTCTTATTATGGTCTTTGGCCAAGAAGACAGAAAATTATTTCATAATGGGTATCTCTTCCATACTTTTTCCACTTCTAAATTAGTGTATTACTTCTATCTATTAACGGATTACAAAACCATCTCCATTTAAAACAGATATAGTTAGCATGATGAAGATGCTACTTTTCATCATCTTCATCATCAAAACGCAGATTCTGTTGTGGGTATAGTACCAATATTTCTGTGCATTTTTTAAATTATTACTTTAAAAAAGCTTAAACTGAGAAAATCCCTTGTCATATATTAACAAAATAAAGTCTTTTACATAAAAAGGAAGCATCCATTCTGCAACATCAGAGATGTTGATCAGAATTAGTAAAAAAATTACAATGTTCACATTACTTGCATTATAGCCTCTCCATTGTTTTGTTTGTTTTGTCTATTTACACACCATTGTACATATTGGGTAAAATTTATTTATCACCACATTTGAATAGTAACGAGAATATTTACATACTCCTATAATGGCGGAACCTTACTTGTGACAAATAATAAGCTATCCTGTTGGAAATAACACAAGGGATATGCAATAGCTCTTTTGAAATACACAGTACTTCCAATCCCATCATAGGACGGGATTAAACAGTTCTTTGTATCTGCTAGATACAGAACTGTAACGGACTTAAAATTATAGGAAGAGAGAACCAGATAAGATGCTTTTAAATATTTTTCCCTTAAAAGTAAATATATATGAAAATAGATTTTCTCCTTCCCGGATGGGTGTTTCGTTCTGAAACAGATTAGGCAAATAACTGTCAAATATTTTTGGTATAACTGGCCATATCTGACCTAAAGATGATCCTGCTAGACATTTGTTAGCACATTTTGTATTAGACAGAATTGAGCGCAGCCACTTTGTCATACATCCAGCAGCTGAGATGCTGAGAACGATCAAGTGCCTAAAATACTGTTGCATTATCACTGCCCTTTCCTCTTCTTCCACAAAAGAACAAAGATTAGTTACACTATCCAGAGCAAACACTCAGCTTTTTGTCAGTCTGACAAAATACCAAACTACCAGTGCCCCTGTTTTCAATTTATTAAAAACATCTTCTTAATGAAAAGAACTAAATCTGTTACAACTATTATGCAAAAGGAGAAGAAATAGTTGTAGATAACTAGTTATCTGCAATACTGTGTACAGCTAGATCACTGAACCACTTCTGATGAATTATGTTGGCAGCTGTGAGGTAAAAACACCCCATTTATTTACCTGAAGAATAATGACCAAGATCAGTGGATACATTTTCCTTTTGAGGCTTTCTTTTTATACTGATGGAAGATAAATACTACTTTTTGCAGTAAGCCATAGATTTCAATACATTTTTCTAAGTACCAGAAAACTACTCAATATCACTTGATTCAGATTTTCTCTGTGAACTAAAAATATATTTTACAAAAACGACTAATTGAAAGCAATGTTGTAGAACCAGTTCTTGCATTAGAAACCGAAATGTCAACAACATTAAAAAGTAAAGTTGATTAAAGTGTAGTAACTAGAAAAACAGCAAAAAATCCCTAAATTATATATTGTCAAAAAGATGACAGCCCACAAACGTGAAGATTGTCAGGCTAGATCCAATTTAAATTTAATTCTCATCCTGTTAAAAAAGCATAAATTTATTCCTAGGTATTATACATGCACAAAATAAAATCCTAAAGTTTCATCAGTTATTTCTCATTGTCCATATCATATGAAGCAGGAGTTAAAAATAATCATGGATTTATAGCAGCTGGACTGGAGTTCAGTATTTATGTATCAAAGCAAGTTCTTACTCAAAGACCTGGCTGCTGATAGGAAAATCAAGGTCACCAATATTTGCATCCAATGAATACCAACTGTTGTTACTTACTAGAAAGAAGGGGACATGGTTTAAAAATGTTTACTCGACGAATTTTTAGCATGAAGAACAGTGTGCCGCTGTTACATTTTTGCTATTTTTGTATATAAGCCCTACGGAAGAACTTAGTTTTTTCCTAAGGCTATTTTTAAATGCTCTGTTTAAGTCTAGTGAGGTCTATCTTAACAGTCTTTTTCAGCACCACCCAATATACCAGAACCTGTTTCAGAGCCCCTATGCTCTATTGGTTGTGATCTTTCTTTTGATTTGTAGACTAAAATGCATTCATGGACAAGTAGTAGAGGTTTTCGGGGTTTTTTTATGAAACTGCTGCCTACTTAAATACCTCTTCTCTAATGTTTTTGCAAGCCACAGTCACTGTCCTTCCAATTCAAACCTCTCAAATTCAGACCTATTCTTAGGCCATACATTCATTAACTTAATAATGAGTTTCACTCCAATCCAAGCATTATAGTTCTTTTATGTTGTCTCTTACATTCTGCTTAATGTTTCAAATTTAAGTTAAATTTTAACAAATTATGGTCAAGTTAGGACTTAGAGTCAACTGTCAAATTTTCTACCTACCATAGATTATATTTGACTGAACAAAGTTAAAGCCAGTGTTGTAACCTAGAACTATTTGTACTAATAAGTTAAAGAAATGAATCTCTCAAAAGTATCAATGCAATACTTCGATATCAACAATGCATCATACCCTTCTAGCATACTTTGAAGGATTGTCATAAAATACACAAAGCTTATGAAAATGAAAACATTTGTTTTTCCATTTCTCCATGCACAAAAGCACTTGCTCTTCTCCCTGTACTCATAACATGCCTATAGATTTCTAATCCTTTCCTCACTCAAAGTGAAACATTTGTGGAAAACCTACCTAGTCCAAAATTTCGTAATATTTAGCTGCTGTAAAAATTCTAAGTTTCTGTACTTTGTTCTTCCAGATAATATTGATCACCAGACTTTTGGTATTGATCAGATGCTCTATTACATCATAGTCCAATTCAACTTGCATTCTCTATCAAATATCTCAAGCATAGACCAACACCATTCTCTCATAGCTGGCCTCCACATTCCTTATTCTGATACTGTTGCTCCATCTTCCTCACCCCTTCATGTCCTATCACATTGTACTGTGCCATCAGGCAGAACTAGCACCTCACCAAGATCGTGTTTTTTGGTTTGGTTTGGTTTTTTGTGGGAGGGGAATTAACTTTTCTCTTGGTGTGTGGGAAAGGGCCAGCAAAGGGGATCTCATACCAAAAGATGAAACTATCCAGTCATAACAAGAACAGAGAGGAGAGATTGCTCTAAACTTAAGCTGTCACACAGTTCATACATTTTGTGTTTCTATTTCCGGATGCATACTAACAAGCAAAGTTTTCTTTGTTAAATCAATGTAAATAAAAAAAATCTCTGGGGTTGTGGGTTGTCGGTTTTGTTTTTTGGTTTGTTTGTTTGTTTGTTTTTTAATAAAGAGGAGGAAGCAATACTATATCAAAAAGTAGCTTCACATTCATGAAGTATATCTTCTGTAAAACCCTCTGTCAGAAGAACTCAGGTTAATGTAAAGCATGTTTCTTCCTATGTGAACCATTACATATTCTAAATAAGACAATCCAATTCAAAAACAAATTAATAGAAGGAAAGAAGCAAACACCCATACAGAAGACGTACATCAACAACTCCACCAAGCCAGATGCAGAAAGAAGAAAGTTGTCTAATCCTTTTTAATCACATCCCGTTATAAGCATCCCCAACATTTCATTTGCATTACTTTGAACTAAACCCAAAACTGTTTCCCAAAATCATGTGTTCAACCCTTGGCTTAAATAGGAATTCTAAAACAAAACGTTGTAAATAGAGTAGAATAGAAAAAAATATAACTTAATAAAATAAAGTCAGCATACACAAATCAGGTCACATGGATCAAATCAAAATTAAACGTGAAGACTGATATCAGTGTTAGAGTTATGATTACTGAAGAGTTAGCCTTTTCAAAAAAAAGCATAGGTAAACTAATGTTGTGCTCTCTTCTGTATAGCTAAACCCCACAGATACAGCAAAACCTACTAGAAGGCAGCAAGGAAGAAAGCCTAAAGCACACTGGACAGAAGGAGAAGCACACAATTAAAAATATATATGTTTTCTGGTTAACAAATTTATACCAAGGTGTCTATCTCCCATTATTGTTCACCCTGACAAAGTAAGTTAAAAGATTAAAGAGTTAAGAGAACATTTCAAAAATAAAAATGAAAAAAGCTTTTGACTATTTAGCACTAGAAAACAAAGCAAACTGCCCTGCACTACATGTTTTACATTCTCTTAGCATTACCTTCTACAGATCAGTGAAATCTACTGAAAAATAGATGTACAGAAGATACATAATCAATGAAAAAAAAGAAAAAAAGGTACAACCATTCACTAACGCATACACATTCATTAACTGAAACCTTGAAACATGCACATCTACAGATCAATTAATTTTAATCCATTAAGAAATAAAAATATGATTTATCATTGCAATAAGTGTTAATGATGTTACCTGACAGGATTACTCGTCAAGGACACACGGAGAGATTCTAAGCAAGTAGCTAGTCTTTCATCTGTTGACCCAGATTTTAATTCCTGAATAAACTCTTGGGGGGAAATCTTCCGGCTGTTCTTGAGACTTCCCTGAAATACAGAAAATACATTCATTTTTTTATTTGGCACGTGTAAAACTTGAATAGATTATTAATGGCTAACCTTCATTTTTGTTCCTTGAAAAAACAAGGAAAAAAAGATATAATTTAGTCCTAAACCTGTAACTCTTTGTTGTCCATCTACTATATATTCTAAATGCTGACTAAATTTTTGTCACTTTATGAACAAATTTATAATCAGTAGTCAAAAGCAGCAGGCATCAAATGTAGAAATGTATCATGCACACTCGGTGAAACGCAATTTTTGTAATGAACTGATTCTGTTTATGCATTGCAAACATCTTAATTTTCAATACTCAACAGAAGGAAAAAACAACTCTGAGGCGTTCTGAAGAACGCACGTGTCCAGAAGGGTGACTGCAGTCATATAAGAATACAGAGGGAAGAACCAGCACACTGGAAGAGTACTCAGGATGTTACTGCAGTAAATTAAGTTCTTGGAGATAATGTTGTAAAATGTTTTTCCCTTAAAGATCCTTCAGATGAAGAGTATATGAGACAGGGATTATAAAAACAGACTAGCTTTGGCTCTAAGAGCTAAAGCAAAAGAACTTTAAAAATAAAAAAAAAATTTAAAAAAGAACAAAGACTTCTTTAGAACCACTGAAGTTCTAAAGATAAATCCCAGCTCCTCATTTGTTGTATTTGCCATCTGTAAGAATGCAGCGCAACACAAATATGACTATTGATGCAATAACATAAGGACACTTACTCAACCTTCGGGTTTGGATTTTGCTCTTTTTGGCAGGTGAGAAGGCAAATGGGGCCATGAAGAACAGGGAGACAGGTAGGAAAATGCAATGGCAAGTTAGTGCCGCACAGCAAAAGTAGTTTTGTTCAAACAAAGTATTTTCTGTTCCAAGCAATATAGATTGAAAGACACTGACTTTGACTCATCATTGTATCTGTGGTGTCAAATGTTGCTTAAAATAAATTCAAGATACTAATGACTCTTCTGAAGCATCCATTGTTTTAAACAAAGCAATGGTTATACTGAACTAATGAAGCTCTATAATTTGCAGTTAAAATGGCAAATCTAAGAGGCATTGACCCTATTCTTAAGAGTATCCTCCTCCTCTTTTTTTTTTAAGTAGCAGCAAAGACAAAATTTGTAGACAGTGGAAAATAAGACATCTACTCCACCTAATATCCATTTACGACATGGAGAAGAATAGATACATTTTCTACAAAACACATCTAAATTCAAAAAAAGAGGCGTACAATAAGGTATACAACCTATATTTGACTTTATCCATTGGAAAGACTCCTTTTTTTTTTTTTTGAGAGCAGAAGCACAACTATTCTGTCATACAGCACTAAAGAGAATTACTAAATAATACTCAATTAGCCAGTGGCTTGCAGTGCAATAATAATTTGAAATTATCCACTGTAAATGGTGAAGCAGACTCATTATGTTATTACACAGAGCTTCATAAATAAAATGTTTTCTCAGTTTGGTAGATCCTCAAGAAGTGTTGAAAAATATACTTTTCTCTTCCTGAAGCAGAAGATGATGAAATAGTTTCTAGCAGAGAGGTGAAGTTAAAAACTGGGAAGAGTGGTTGACAGACCAGACCGCTGTGCTGCCATTCACAGGGACCTCAACAGACAGGAGAATTTCAGAGTTTCAGAATTTCAACAGTCAGAGGAATTTCAGGGAGTTCCACAACAGGAAACGCTAAATCCTTAACCTAGGGAGGAATAATCCCATTCACCAACACGTGTTGGGGCCTACAAGCTGAAAAGTAGGTTTGTAGGAAAAAAATGGGGGTCCTGGTGGGTGACAAGTTGACCATAGGGAAGTGCATCACCAGCTGGTCAAGGGAGGTGATCCTTCCCCTCAGCTCAGCAGTGGTGAGACACATCTGGAGTACTGTGTCCAGTTCTGGGCTCCCCAGCATGAGAGAGACATGGACATACTGGAATGAGTCCAGAAAGGGCTATGGACACAATTAAAAGAGCATCTATTGTACAAGAAGAGGCTGATAGAACTGGGATTGTTTAGCTCCAAGAAGAGAAGGCTCAGGGGAACCCTATCAGTGAAAGGACAAGAGGCACAAATTGAAATACAGGAAATAGGTTAAAGGTAAGACATAAACACAAACTTCCTCCCCGCTCCCCCCTCGTTTTTTTTTTTTATCCATGAGACTGATCAAGCACTGGAACAGGTTGCCCAGGCAGACTGTATAGTATCCTCTATCAGAGATATTAAAAAATGGACTAGATAAGGGGTTGGACAAGACAATCTCCAGAGGTTTCTTCTAGCCTCAACCATTCTGTTCTATGACACTGTGAGAAGGGAACATTGGGGGGCTATTGGGGTCTATACTACCCCTCTACTCCAACTATATTTCCTCAGACTTGAGAAACAGATGTTCCAGATGCCAAAAACCAGACTATTACCAGGAACCACCCTGAAAATATAGCATCTCATGCTATATTTTGGTACACCACAAATAGTACATGGAATGTCATTCCAAACATGCCTCTGAATTGATGGAGAACCCTATTTACTTAAATATGAGAGTCACTTCCAATAACTATGTTCCACAAAAAAGTAGATGAGATGGCCAAGAAGGCATGAGGGTTGAGGGGGAGCCTTAGAATTAGAGATCTAGGAAACCCAGAGGAAAAAAAAATACGTAACAATAAATGTTCCCACAAATAAAAAGAAACTCAGTGTTTACAGTTTTCTTTCATGTTCTGTGTTTAGTTCATAGCCACATAATACTCAAGTCAGAAAGGGAACTTACTTTAATCTCTTCAGATACTATCTGGGTCCAAGGGTTAACAGTATGCATTGGTAATGCCAGGAACAGAACACAACCTCCTCAAAAACATCTAGTTGCCAAACTTATTGCATAAACCATTTACGCTCCTCACTAAGATGGTATAATTTCTTGCACTTCCATAAGGCAAGAAATCTCAGCTCCCCTATAGCTTTGACACAGCTATATGTAAAGAGGAATGAAAAAAACAACTGGAGAGAATCTCCAAGCCAAATGTAGAAGATCTTAAACAAAACAAAAAAGCATTCATAACGTTAAGAACTAAATATCAGACTTGATAAAACATGAAAGGTAAAAGCTACTACACCATGAGTTGCCTAAAACACTAAAAATTCACTGGCTAAGAGGAATTGGCAAGAGTTTCTGTCTGGTTATTCAAAAGCTTATATACTGAGCACATCCATCCTGTTACAATAATCCCCAAATGTTTTAAGACTAAACAATATATACCCCTGAGACACAATCAGGGGAATTTGAGTTACGGCTGTGATATAAGGAGGAAATGGTTACAACTGTGGTATATCAGGGGATCAGGGCCATGCCAGCATGCATATGCAGTGTATAGTTCCCCATGCAATCCTGGATCTTCAAATCTGGTCTCTGCATAGATGAGATAATGGACTGACTACAGACAAGATGACCGAACTCCTAGCAGCCTTCATGACAAAGTGTTTAACTAAATGTTGCAGGAGGTCTCCAGTTGGAAATTTTAAAAAGCCCCAGAAATTCTCCTGGCAGCTAGTGCATGGACTAGTTGATAAGCACTACTTGTATGCCTAAGCATATGGGTTAATACCCTGGGTGGAGAATCTGTCACTTCCAGTGACTCCCCCCAGCAGTTCCTGCTGTAAACTTGACCAAGCTGGATATAACTAAGATACTTATAAATAATCAGTGAAATTGCTTTCTTATGATGCAGAAACAGTCATATAGGACAGTCATATGGACAGGACATATGGTTAAGACGGTTAAAAAATATTTTGGAAGTAATTTAATATAATCAATAGCAATGTGTGAAATGGAAAGGTCACATGGGACCAGATCCCAGCCAGACTATAAGAATTCACTAGAATGACATTTCAGAGAGTCTCATCTGACCCATCTGAAGACAGTATCACAAGCAATGGAGACTCACATCAACATCCAGACAGTAACCAGCCATCCCATTTCAGATTCAGTTCCCCACCTGAACATTATCCTATGCAAAAGATGCCAATAAACTGTGAATGTCTGTACAACATACCCACAGTACCAAGTACCACTTATTCATACTTACGCCAAGGTTCTGCAACATAAAAAGAATATGATACATCTGCCAGTGCTTAAATCAAATGAGAGCTGCATTTGGTACCAATTGTGAAACTGATTATATTAGCTATATTTCTGCATGGGAAAAGCTGCTTAAGTTCAAAATGCTCGAGTTAACTGAGAAACAGGAAATATCTTGAGGCATCAGTGCCTCTAGAAATTTAATTGCTTAACTGAAGAACAACTGGTCTGTGAGCAGATGCAGTATGAAGTCAGCATTAATTAATTCAGTTAAAACATTACGAGGCAGTAAGCCGCACAACAAAAACAAAATCTTGCGAAGAAAACTCACTTTAAAAATCCAGCTTGTGTGTGTTCAACATACAGAACAGCAAAACTTATGGTAGAGTAACATCATAGCAATGCTGCTTTTATTTCCACTTGAGTATTAACTCCATAACATGGAAATTGATTTTTAAAACTTTTCTGGGCTAGAACACCTTTGTGGGTGTTTATATAGCCCTTCAAAATGTGACCCTGTTTCTAACCTCAAATAATCATAATACATACAAACAGCTACAAAAACACAGAAAATACACCCGACATAACAATCTCTAACAACAAACAGAACCACACTGCTTTTGGTAGATGAGAATTCACACTCACATAATAGCCTTTAAAACACAACTGTTGTTCCCTTCTCCAACTGTTTCCTGATAAATAAGACATGACACCACAGCAGAAATTTAAGATTTCCAAGCTGTGCTGGTTTAAACAATATGCGATATACATCTCTCAGATAATGTTTTTAAGGGAAGAAATAAGGCTTCATCTAAACACTATACATTTCAAGAAAACAAGAAAGTACTAGCAGAATATTGAAGTACTTGAGCAGAATTCTTCCAAGTATACAATTTTTGCTATCGTTCAAATTTTCAGTAAGTACTACTAGTATCCCAAACCCCAAGACTGTTTATTCTTAGCAATTCTTCTACAGGGAGTCCCTGAACACGTTATAAAGAGTGATGGTAACAGCATACTTACAGACAAACATATACAGACATATATACAGAAGCATGCTTTCAGCCAACTGTTTAAGAAGTCTCTAAGCAAAGCAGAGTGAAATGAATGAGTAATGGACGATGCATATCAGTAGAACTCTGGTTACTTTTAAGTAACTGAGTCCTGAAGTGATGGATTCATTCTAAACATCTCATGCATACACAGAGGTAGGTCACAGTATTCTATACATAAATAATCACCTGAGCATAACCCCACCAAACCCAACATAATTTCTAGATGCATCAGTAACAGAGATGTGCTTTGTGAATATTGGAAAGGAGTTGTGCATTTCTAAGAAACAGAAACCCTGATACTGAGGTCAATGACGAAGCTTTGACTATAATGGAGTGCACTTTGATCACCAGAGGCTGCTTCATTTTCAGTGATTCATTAGAGGCGCAGCCTTTGTTCTTCATTTTAATAGTTTTTATAATGATAACTGCTTTAAATGAAACCTGCTCAGTACTCTGCATAGCAGTTGCAAATGAGGATATTTGTCCCAACACAATATAGCTTAGTACCTGCCTCCTTAAGGTTTGAGAAGTATGAACTATCAAAAGATGTTACTGCAGTATCACTCGTAGAAAGAGAGACCTGAGATGGGGTTAGTTGTATGTAGTATTCAGGAGCTATATGGCACTTCAACTCTTCTGGAAAAGCATGACACTCATCAAGTCAAGGTACACCAAAATTTAGCCAAGTACCCTGGGCATGCAGTGCACTATTCTCTCTACACCGACAAGGCACTCAGACAGTCCGATGCACTCAAGGCATGAAAGAGCATGCCAGGAACAAAGAGTTTGGAAGGGTGAGGGAAGGAGTTTCCCATCCCAGTAGCACTAAGCTGAATTCGTCTGCAACATTACTGTATCAAACAGCTGAATCTATGCATCACAGAAACAGCTACTCCCAGTTATACAATGAGTGAATGCTATTTCCAGTAAGGACACAACAGTAGGAACAGAGTTCAGTAAAAAACAAGAGTTTCCCTGCATGAATTAGTCTTCAGTGATCTCCCACACCCGAAAGGGGAATAGATGGGCTGGCAGCAGAGTGGGGAATGGAAAGGAAAAAATGCTGTTGGGGGCTTTATGAAAACATGTAAGACAACAGTGTGTGGGAGCAAATTACTACCCTGGGGGAGGAAACAGACCTGTCCTTTTCAATAGAGTACCTTGTATGGCTGCTCTGGGCATAGTGCAAGAAGCTGCATTGCAAAAAAACAAGTGTGATGACAACCAAAGACAAAAAAAATATTTCTTCCAAGTGGCACTCAGAAAGAAGGATCGATGAAACCTACTCTGCTATACGCTTCAGTTCTTTCCAAGTATTAAGTGCCAGGAAGTAAAGAGATAACATGAAAACCTTTCTCTCAAGACAGTCTTAACATCATCATCATCATCATGCTAAGATTCCAGCAATAGATGCGGATGCAGCAACTCTGCACAGCCAGCCATGTCCTATTATCGCACTACTTTTTACATCAAAAAAAATGAGGTCTTAGAATGCATGTGGAGGTTAGGGGTGTCAACATCATATAAACCTTGACATGCTGTTTGGGGCTGAGAAACTTCAAGAATGTTGTGAGATTTACTAGCCTGAAGTTTCCTGATTTCCCATGAAATACCTCTAAAAAAGAAAAACAGACCTCCTAATCTTCTGGTACTAAGAAACTTTTATGCTATAGAAGGACTAGTAGCTTTGATAAGCTCATCTTAAATAAAACAATCTCCAGACAGTTCGGTCCTGCACTGGGCACCTACCTTCCTAAAAATGCTAGAATGTTACACTAATAAGGTACATCATTTAAAGTAGACAATAAGATAAATACCTCATTTGAATTACTATATTTAATGTCTTCTTTTCTCAGTATTTAGTTATAATTACATATGGACAATTTTTACTGATATCTCTACATGCACGGAGCCATGAGAATGAAAGAATCAAAGAATCAAATATATGAATTCTAAAACAATCAAAAGGTCTGAGGACAATACTAGCACTGCAGCATTTAGCACTGGAGTCAGTCTCCACTTTGCAAAAACTAGAGTATTTTTTCTTATGCCAACTTAATCCTTAAACTGACCAATACACAACTCCTTGCACTTCTCTAAAACAACCAGTAATTATCACAATAAGTAAAAAACGGACACTAATTGGGTTCATGTGCAACACTTTTGTTATCCACTATTACACAGCATCACAACATGAATTCTGTACTCAAGTACGAAAAAGGCTAATCAGTTAAGGAATTCTTTTTAAACAGCGCTAGAAAAGAAAAAAGGTTCACACGAAACTTTTCCAAGAAGTTTTCCATCTCCATTAAGAGCCATACCTTTACCAAAAAGAAATGCTGTTCTGTGTACAGAAAACACACCTCAGTACAAGTGAGTATCTTTCATTGCAGCTTGTAAAATAATGAGATAGTGCCCTTGAAAAATGTTTGTGTCTCTGAGAAACAAAAGTTAGTCAAAAGAATGTAACATGCATCACTTTTTCTCTCCAATAGGAAATAATGTAAACATTAAGTCAATTTTGGAGTGCTTCCGAGAAATTTACTTACAGACTTCGAAGCAGTGCTAATATATTGCATCACCATTTCTTTTTTGGTATTAAAATCCTTTTCTCTCAATGGCATCTTCTTGTCTTCATTTAAATTCATATCTTCCTAGAATGGGAGGACAAACAAGGAAAAAAAAAAAAAAGTTTTAAATGTCATCCAACAACACAGTTATTTAACTATAAGAGACTGATTTAAAAAAAATTAAGATACAAAAATACGAACTTGAGCAACTGGAAGCTGTTATACAAACAACTTTTCGTAAGTTGGATGTTACTCAAAACCATAAAAATCTTTATCCATCTTCCCTAGCAACTCAAACTGAAAAAACAGTCAACTATGCCAGGCTAAACAAGTGCATCACAACCATTACTACCATAATCTCTTCTTAGAAATCACTTACAGTTTCACACATACACACGCACTAAACTACAGAAAAGTGTTAATTAACATTTCCTAAAACATTTATAAATGTACTCAAACTGGTCTCGTAGAAAGATCTTTTTAATGATATATCCATTTGTTCTATAATTCTGTTCCTCAGTTCCCAAATACTTAATCCTGGGCAGCCGAATCTGCTTTGCCCTGAGAGTAGTTCACAAAATGATATTCACCTTTGCAATAGGTAAGGCCCAAATTCTTGATGATTTCATCATTAAATCAACACCTTCAACTGTTATCAAAACCCCATCACAATTTACTCATTCCAACGTAAACCCAGAGGTCAAAATGAGCAGATGTGGAACCACATTTAAAGCCACACAGCAGCTATTCATTGACATTTCTGACGCAAGGACTTCTACTGTTCCAGCCTAGAAATGCTCTGACCATTGTAATCAGTTCCACAGCTGTGAGAAATGACATCTCCTGTCATGCTGGAGGTAAAAAAATAATAATTAAAAAACAAGGCTTTAAGAAACAATTTAGGCACACACACATACGAGCACATACAGCATTACTATGGTCACCCAAGCTTAGCAAGAATTATTGCAGTTATTTTCAGCTGAGACTCACAAGGTGAATCCCCACCAGCTTTGGCAGAAGCAATGCTACCAAATCAGTGGGTAACCATCTTGATATCAAAACTATCTCTCCTAGTCAGAAATCAAAGACAAACAGCAAGCAAACTCATAACCTTAGAATTTTAAGGAAAAAAAAAAAACCCTAAAGACCAAAATTTTATACTACACTGAAACTTAAGTTTCCTTGTCTTTCACTTGTTTTCATATTGAATAGGACAGAACCAAGCACAGTTCCTACAAACATTTAGAGCTTTGTATAAATCTGAGCTGTGAGAAGACATTCCAGAAAATGTGTGACCCCTTAAGTTGAACTTCATCAAAGTATGATTAGGGCAATTTTGTGTAGATTCTGCATTTTTCCCCCTACAAATGTTACTGTTTCCTTTCCTTAAAGACTAGAAAAAGTTCCTACTTCAGTCTAGTATGCATTTAAATTATTACTTATTATTTATTGAAGTATTGTTAAATTAGTATTTTTATTACTTATTTGATACTATACACTGTATTTATAGTATTAGATTTGTATATTTGATACTATATATACACTATATTATTATTTGATTTTTTTAGTATCAAATAAGTACAGGGTGCATGTTGTAAAAAGTTCTTTCATTCAAGCAATAATAATATAGTCTTTAGCCTCATTAGCAGCTAGCCCGCATATTGGTGTTAATTCCTACATCTGAAAGTAAATGCAAAACAACTTTGTCTAAATAAGCTAGAAAAAAGGAGGCCACGCATACTTCAATCTTTTCTCATAGTTCTGTTCTTCAAAATACTGCATTCTTTTGATCAAAAAATTCATAGAGACACTATTTGCTCATGCCCAAACCAAAATTCTAGCAGTGCATAAGGACACACATATTCCTGAATATTTTGCAAGTTGCCTCATACTAATTCAAATGTCGGGGACATTACCTTGAAAGGATATGCTTCACTTTCTAGCTTTTCTTGGCTGAAAGCAAAACAAGAAACTACTATGATTTACTTAATGATGGGAAACCTGGTGTGATCCAAAAATGCTGCAGACACTCAAATATCCATACTAAAATAAATAAAAATAAAAAAAAAAAACCACCAGGCTTAAATACACGTACATTAAAAACACCGTTGGGATCATATATGGCATGCAAAGAGATCATTTTCTTCCAAGACACATAAAAAAGTGGTAAACTTTTTGTGTGTGTATACACCATTTGGGAAAAAAGTGAAAGATATTTAAAGTTACCTGTCTCTATCAATGCTTACAAAAGTCACTGCGGCATTTTTAAGATGAGAAAGAACACATAATCAACCACAAAAAGTAGTGTCTTCAGTATTTCAAAATCAAAAACCTACAGTATTCATCTGCTCAAAGAAGGCTGTTAAGCATGCTGTTAAATGGTCAGGTGGACACCTAAAACTTTAAACGAGTTACACAACAAATCAATATAAATATTTTCATTTATTGGTCAAGCATTTAGCGGTTAATTACATAACTAGCCAGGACTTTTACAATTCATCAGTGTATTGTGACATTGATATATGGTTTTGGACATAACGATTTGGGAACTGCTAAAAGGCATTTAAAATAAGAACAGATAAAGAAGTTCCTTTCAATTTACTTCTTTAAATGTTTTTCAATAACAAATTCTTTCAAAACCAGAAAAATACTACAACTTTAAATTCTCAACAACTGCTCAAAAATCTTTATGCCTTATCTAAGACATTTCCTTAGCTTAAAAATTGGGGGTGGGGAGCAAGAGGGGGAGATCGAAATCAAGTCAGATTGCCAAAAATACTACAAAGTTAGTATTCCCTCTAGCCTTTAGTTTGTTATTTTATCTTCTTACAGGTATTTCTCATTTTCTGTAGTATTTCAGTTTAACTAATTACCTTCTATTAAATGCACAACAACGTATTTATGACTATTCTTATTACCAGCCAACACACCTGTTGAGATACGCATATGACAACCCATACTATAAATTACTAAAATCAAGTCCAGCTTGACATTACCAGATAAATTTGTTTTTTTCTGCAAGTTCCAATAAATGTCTTTGGAATGCTGTGCCTCAGGATTCCTTTCCACAGGGATATAATTGTATAGCAATACTGGCTTCAAATGAAAATGCACTTTACATGTATATTTAATAAGGGTTACTGTATTTTATTTAATACTCAAATTGTATTTTTAAAACCTACATAAACAGAAATGTAAAAACACTGAAACCAAAGTATTCCATTTTAAGTTTCACAAAAAATACATGGCTAGGTCTTTCTCAATGTTTTCTGAGAGTTATCACATCTTCAGTACCTTGCCTGCAATGTGCCACAGGTTTTTTTTTTATAATAGCATTGAAATGCATGTATATCCTACTTAAGGGGAAGGAAAACAAACAAACAAACAAACAAAAAAGCTTTTCACATTAGCCTGTAGCTACTGCAAAGTTCATTCTTCTGTTTAAAGCAGTTTTGCATTTCTTTCAGACTTAGAGAATCGTTTAGGTTGGAAAAGACCTTTAAGATCATCAAGTCCAACTGTTAACCTAGCACTGCCAAGTCCACCACTAAACTATGTCCCCAAGCACCACATCTACACATCCTTTAAATACCTCCAGGGACGGTGACTCAACCACTTCCCTGGGCAGCCTGTTCCAAGGCCTGACCACTCTTTCAGTAAAGAAATTTTTCCTAATGTCCAGTCTAAACCTCCCCTGGTGCAACTTGAGGCCATTTCCTCTCGTCCTATCACTTGATACTTGGCAGAAGAGACCAACCCCCACCTTGCTACAACCTCCTTTCAGGGAGTTGTAGAGCGCGATGAGGTCTCCCCTCAGCCTCCTCTTCTCCAGGCTAAACAGCCCCAGTTCCCTCAGCTGCTCCTCATAAGACTTGTTCTCCAGACCCTTCACCAGCTTTGTTGCCCTTCTTTGGACACTTGCTCTTTTAAGTTTTCTGAAAAACAACTTCTGAACTTAAATAACAAAGAGAAAACAAAGGACTTGTTTTTCCTGCAAAAAATATCTAACTTCTAATCACATTTAAAAAAAAAAGAAAAAGAGAAGAAAGAAACCTATCAGTACAAACTATATTCCATAATCCTAGATGTAACGGCAGGTTTATTTATAGGAAATGTTCTGTCTGTGTGTGCAGTAAAAAGTAATTTCTTCGTTGTTGTTTTTAACAAATGAAACATAATTAAAGCAATTTATACAGATTAGAAGTATTCAGCAGAAAAAGGGGCACACCAGAAGTGGCTTAGTTTATAAAATACTTCAACTCCATTCTTTTATTTCTTCTTAAATCATTTAAAGTTATTCTACAGGTAAGCAATACCTCTATGGAAAATAAGAGTAAGTCATTTCACATGGATATTTTCCTAATAGCACTAACAGAAAAAAACTAAATGACAGTTCATTATTAGCTTTAACTGTCTGGTTTTATGAGCTCTTTCATAATTTTTGCCACCAAAACCACACAGGACACCACTGCATAAAAGACTGGGAGAAGGAAGCAGCATGCATCCAGGAAAACCCAAAGTATAACGTAACGCATTCAGTTAAACTTCAGAATTTAGGAACTGCTCCCTTTGGTACTAACTAATTGACTATTTTTATTTTGTGCAAAATTAGCCCTAAAAGCCTGGCTACAACATTCAAATTGTTTACTACCCCACCCCCCCAAATCAGTTAATTTGATCAGAACAGCAGACTAGAGGCTACAATATATAATTAGCTATGTAATCTACTGTGACTAAACTAGCTTTATTCCAGTCCATTCAAGTGTGGATAATCTGAAGAATCCTTTCTGTATTTCATGTTATAGCTAAAATAACACTGATAAAGTAGTTTATCAAAGACAGTTTCAGTGCTTTGTTATTCAACAAAACTAGGAAAGCATTCAAATTATCCAGGATATCATCATTACTTTAACATATTTTTGCAAAGTAGTTATAAAATTGGAATGAATTGCTTCAGGATCCATGGATATGAGCATTTCTGTTTACCGAGACACACAGCAGTAGGTTTCTGAGGATTTATTGAAAGTTTCCATTTTTTATGGCATAGTCTCAACGTTACACACTATCCTACACCAGAATCTCTGAGGGATCATAGAGAAATACAGCCTACGCTTATGTAGCAGGGGGTGTGCGCCAGGAGGCATACGTTATAAAAAAACTCCCCCATTTCCTAACATTTGAGCAATTACCATTCACAGTAAAATTTCTTAACAGAAGTAAAATATCCTAGATACCAAGGTATACCAAGAAAAATGGACCATGTGAGAACAACAAGGACAAATACAAAAGTTGATAACAGAGTAAATTAGTCCTCCCATTCATCAGCTTAACCATGAAAATCCTGAATCCTATCTCTCAGTCATAGCTCTCAACAGTTCTACAAAAGCATCTTCAAAACTAAACTAACATTATTGAGTACTATGAATTACAAATTCCATAAGCGTACTTCTCTCATAGCACATTTAATTCCTCCACATCCCAGCTCCTGGTAGTCCCTTCGTGTTTCAAGAATTACTTGTTACTTGCTGTGAGGCAGAGAAAGAAATAATAATCTAGGCATCGTTCTCCTTGTTCATGTCCTCTTGTGCTCTTCAGATTACAGTTACTCTCTTCTCTCATGGCCATTCCATGTTTAGTTTTCAGTTGCCCAAAATGTCATCATCATCAAAAAAACCTCAACCTATTGAGGTGGTACCTATGCCACATGATCTTTCCAGCAAGTGACTGCTCTTTTGTAGCACAGTAACGATGACAGCTAAGAAAGGAAGCAAATTTGAGACTGCACGTGCAGACAAATGCTGCTTTGAATGCAAGAACCTTAAGTCTTTTGTGTGCAAGAGTGACATGGAATATAAGTTCAGCATGAAACCCTGCTGTGACATTCAAAGGCATAAAATCCCTTTGTAAAAGTTTCAGGTTGTCTTGAAAGCAAGCAGGATCCCCCATTTCTTGTTCCTCCTCAAAAGCTGTTGCATAATTTCTCTTCTAATAATCAGAAACCTTTAGTTTCCATTTTAAATATATTTGGAGCAAAATCTTGTCAAAATAATTCAAAGACTTCATGCCCTGAGAAACACCCTAAAAATCACATAATTACAACTCACAACAACAACAATATTAGTAATTCAGGTAAAGATCAGAACACATGCACAAAAGAAGGCTCTACCTGTCAGATAGCCATGTTGCCACTCTTTAAGTAAAAGAAACCAGAGTAAGACTCTTACCATCATTTTTTCAAACAGCGCTATGATTTCTCTTTCTGACAGGGGTTTTGGAACAAAATCCTCTGCATCCATAGGTGTGGATGACCAATCTGTAGAATGTGACTGCTTCATATGCGGCAGAGGAGGTCTTTCCTTTTTACTTCCTGGAATTCTTATACTGGCAAATCTATCCAACTGAAAACAGAAAAGGTATAATATATCACATACTGTTTCCATTCTGTGTAACCCTAATTAAGACGGGTGTTCTTGGAAGCTAAACAGCCTTATTTTTCTGTGGTAACTTGCCTGTTATTTAACCATCTTATTTTAAAGAGTTTTCCTAAAGATACATATAACAGTCAGTTGCCTTAGCACCTGAGTTAACAGACCAGAATCCCATTACATTATGGAGAAATCATGCAGAACATGAGAATTTTATGGGAAGTTTGGAGGAAAAGATATCTACAAAACCAATTTATGAAGAGTTCTTCCCAACCATTACATGCAGAATACGAAAAAGCAGGCTTACTTACCAAAAGCATAGTTTTAAAATGTTTTTTGTTACTCTCAAACAGCTGTACTCCCGACATTGTAACAGAATATACAGATATACAAAGGAACTACTTTTTATTAAAAGACAAGTTAGCATAACTAAGACACTGTTCTATTTATTTATTATTTGGATTATGTTATCCAAAACTTAGTGCCTTTCTGTGCTCCAGTTATTTAGAAATTCATTTAGAAGAAGCATAAAAACCGCCAGCTCCTTTATTAAAGTTAAGTAGGATACACTCATGGTTTCATGAATAATCCTTAGGACTTATCACCAACACAAGACAATCACTCTGAGTTTATTAAGATTTCAAAAGCCTTTCAAAAGCCAAAAAAACTTCTTTGGAAAAGAGGTTTGGGTTGTGGTCTTGTTGTTTTTTTTTTTACTGGTTAGATATCTATCAACTTTTCAATAAAGACTTACTAAGTGAAATTTTAAACATTTTCATTGTTAGAGCTTGTGTGTTTTAATGTATATGGGCAAGGACCAACAGAACACAAAAGCAGCTGACGTACTCCATGAGATGCGCTAAATCTTAATCATCTTTGTAGCAGCTTTTTGAACAGATGTGAACAGAAATATTACACTTGTCAACACAGAAGAAAGTTACGGTAGCATTTGATGCATAAGAGATTTTGGACAAGATTTCAATGATATCAGTAGACTTACACCTTTGAAATGCTATGCAAAAATATTCTGAGGCTTCAATATATCTTGAAGATAAGTATCTTGAGATATCACTTAATAAGTACATCAAAGTTACCAAACTAAATGACAAGTAAAGTTATTATAGTGTCTGTGGAATTAAGATCAGAAAGAGCAAAGAAAATTAGTAGCAAAAATTGGATACAAGTGTTCCACTCTAGTCATTGACAAGAATTGACATCCATGAAGAGAGGTTTAGAGGAAAAACAAAGAGACTTCAATTCTTCCTGTTCAAAACTGAAAAGGAACAGTTTTTGGAACGTAGAAATAGATTGTAAGCCACTCACATACAGATGGTTGTAGAACATGCAAAAGCGGGAAATTAATATGGCATAAACATAAAAGAGCTCAGCATGTATGTTGGGGCCCTTCAGTGTCACATCAAACCAGTAGGGAATGAGGAAAGCACACTCTACAGGAATAATTACATAAGCAAGACCCAGGAAGAAAGAGAATGCAACAAAACCTAAAGTGAGGGTAACATCATTGGAAGTGAAGTATAGAGTCATCAGTGGCAAAACCATCTTGCATCTTGACCAGACATCAGTTTCCCTTCCTGTCTTTAAAAATCAGAAGTCTATGTCAAACCGGGGGGGGTGGGGGTGAAGGCAGATGGCAAACCACAATGACTAGACTGGAATCTTAAAAAAAATATATTACATGAGACTTTTCTCCTCAAACAATGGCTTTCAGAGAGCACTGATGAAAGGCAGCACACCTGCTCCGAAGAATGTTAGCCAGTAGGTTCTCCATGTCCCACTGTTCACTATGAAGTGCATAATCTAAGAAACAAACCATTGTATTTGAAGATTCTTCATACGCAGACTTGAAGGAGGGGTAGAGGGAAGGCACTTCGGCTGAAATAACAGATTTCAGCCCATGGTTCAGTCAGCAGAGAATTGACTAAATTAGGTTCAAGAGAGGTGTGCCCTACACCCCTTGCCCATCTCTCCTGAAAAATTTCAGCCCCTTCCTTACAGCCCGTGTTCCCCAAGTGTCCCCTCTTCCTTCCCCTGCTCCACACAGCAGCAGCAATAGCAGTTCTGGCCAGACAGAACCACCCTAGTCTCTGCTGTGAAATACCCCAAGCAGTCCCAGAGCTACTCTTGCTGCACTAGGAACAGGCAGCACCAGTTCAGGGATGAGAGCCAGTTGATTCTTGAAAAGGGGTATTTCACTTCCGTTCACTTGTTCACGTTTTTAGTTTATGCTTTGTTTTTAAGCTCCTCTTGAATGTTAGACGGTACAGTAGATGTTTTGCAACATTACAGATTAGGCCATAACATTCATATTCTCCATATTCACCAAATCCTATACCACTTGTCCCAGAGGAGGGAAGCACACTCTTGGAAAACATTTGATCAAGCAGAATATGTAAGACAAAGTGAGATACTAGGATTATAAGCACATTTAAACGTGTCAAACAAATTACTTAAAATAATTTAAAACAATGCAGCCTAAAAATCAGATTTCCATAGATTAAAAAAAAGGAAATTCACAACAAGACCTGCACAGCAGTACAGTGTGGGTATTCTACATACACTTCTCTTTTGAATTATACATTGATAGTGCTTCAAAAAAGTTAATGCCTCTCAATATTCCATACATGCGAATAATTTCATGGTCCACAGAATGCACTATACAGAAAGAATAGAAATTTCATTGCTTGGTTGTAATGAAATCTACCACTGATGCTGCTGGCGATCTAAGTGCATAGAGGAGGAAATGGCAAAAATACAGTTCAATAATCTTCCGTGTTACATCAAAAACATTTTAAATCAGCCTAACCAATGGGGAATATCTAAAGTTAGCTTTGATACAAAGTGTCACTACAGTTTAAAGCTGGTTTGACCTGCTATCTTTTCTAAAGATGTCTGCCATTTTTTTGTATTTGTTTTACTAATAAATACATACAGACCCATACAGGAACAGTACTTTAGGACAACAATTTCCTGAAAGGGATAAACTTTTCCTTTAAGGTCTTTGTTGGGCCAACATAAAAATTAACCAAAGAATAAACAGTGTTTCATAAGATCTTGACACAAAGTATTTCCACAGTAAAGTCTCTTCAAAATTCTCCAAACTAATACCTGTTCTGATGCACTGATGGAACTCCGAGTATCCAGAGTTAAGAATTCAAAGGCAGTAAGGAGTGAGAACAAAATAAGAGTGCATTTAAATACTTCTGGGTACTTAAAGGAGAAAGCTAGAATTTTTTTATACTAGACAAAAACATAACAGGGAATCTCTAACCAGCTCATTAATTCAAACAACTATGTATTCTTATCACTATAGCACAATATTACCAAAGATGAGGAAAACTGTATTTCAGATACATAATCTAAAAAGAAAAAATTGTAAAATGATTAAACACTGAGTACAAAAAGACTGCAGAAATATTCATTAAAAACTATTCGCTTCTAAATTCTAAAAAAAATGAACTGCCCATGTAACCACAATATAGGCTGCATAGTGGTCTTAAGTTTAAAAATTATATGACATTGAAAGGAGAAGTGAAAGTAACTAAAAAGCAAAGTTAACTCTGGAAAGGAAAAAAAGCTGAAGGTAGGAAGTGTTTCCTATCTGAAGGTAAGCATAATTCTAGAAATAACACAGATACAGCACTATTTTGTTAGCAAAAACTAACCGAGACAGTCCTAAGTCTTTTTTGGTCAAAAGGCAGAGCTTTTGGCCCAGTTGGTTTTGTTGTTGGTGGTGGTTTTTTGTTTGGTTTTTTTTGTTTGTTTGTTGGTTTTTTGGTTTTTTTTTTTATTTAGGGTGGGAGAAAAGAGAAAGAGGAGGGAAAAGATAAACAAAAATTAACTAGGACAGTAGAGAAGCTATTAAAGATCTAATTCACACAGTTCTCATTCCTAAGACTAGATCCCCCAGCATGAAAGGCATGAGGAGTCTTTTCTCACAAACTTGAATTTAAAGCAATGAGTTGTTTTCATATATTTTAGCTTTTAGGTCTTTATGCCTCCTGTCGCCAGATACTGGAACATCTATAAAGCCATGTACTTTACTCTGCCAGTTCGCATTCTCCATGAGACAAAAACGGCAAAGCAACTGAAACAAAATCTTAACGTCACAACTGAAACACAGTGAAAAATAAACCATGATCTTCACATGAACATAAGTTACCATGAGACTGCTTTTCAGTAGCATTTTACATTTACCAGCCTGAAGATTCTCAGGGAGCCTTGGTAGAAACTCTATTATTGTGGCCCCCCTGCACTGTAGTAGAGTTTAAAACTGTCTTACGGTAGTGTTTCTTCTACTGCTCTGCTCCATCACAAAGCTCTGCGAAACCACAGCTTCAGAGGTACGGCAACCAAACTCTACTGACAAGCTCTAACAGCACATGAGGTGCAAAGCAAGTTACTGTATGTACACAGTAACAGTGCTAACAGCATCTGCACAGGGAAAAGTTGTCTCAATAATCACTTGGCAGACAAGATATGTGAGTGAATAATGAAGTTCTCACATGACTTTAAATGTAAAAAATTGTTCACACAGTGCCAAAAAGATCTGAGCTGCGCTTTTTTATTACTAGTAGTACAAGAAAATGTGATCGCTTATTTCAAAGGCAGTATCGTCAGAGCAATATTCAAATCCCATAGGGATTTAATTTCTAATGAATATTTTCAAACACAGCCACATTAAAGAAATGACTTGAAAGAAAGCAACTGACACGGGTAGGACATATCAAAAGTTTTCTTCAATGGCCATTATCTGTATGAAGGGCAAGAGGAAAGGAGATGCACGCAGTGGGATCAAGACTAAAGGAAAGGACTGTGTCTTAAGGCTATGAGCTAGAAAGCCCATCTGCACACAAACAAAAGAGCACAGAAAGACAACGGTGGGTGGTGGAATCCAAGTAACACTTTCACCTGTCTCTTCCCAAACTCATCACAGGAGCCATTAGCCC